TGATAACCACAGGACATATAGAAGAAGCCGAAGAGAAACCCGGGACGAAGAAGAAACAAAAGGTATCCGGGAGCCTTCTAACACTCTCACACAACGGCGCGCCAAAAAATTATGGGCTCGATAACAGATTCGGTGGGAATCGAACTGAAACCCGACCTAGTTGACGTTAGTAAAACGAGGGATGACTTGGGCCAAATTTGTCCTTGTATCAGCCGACTCATCCCTCTTGTTACGACTCGAGGCTGTTTGACAGTCTCAAGAGACAAATCCATCCCCCCCCCCCAGAAAAAAACACTTCTCTAGGACGGACAGACTGCCTTATACAAGAAATATCAAGCGCCAGACCAACCAGCACAGTACGAAGGCAATGGTCACACAGCCGCCTGTGTTCCAACAGTCCTAGTCGTGTTTGCAATGACCCAAACTGAGGGCGAATGATGTGCGATCCTTCAGAAATTTATCAACCTTATTTTTGTACCGTTTCCCCAGTACAAACCACGAGAAAGGCAAGTGGCCGAACAAAGTGGCGACCTTCAACTAGCACAGAGGAAGTAGTAGAACCGAGTGGAAATAAGAAATAAAGCCTTGTGGGATACATCCACCTATGAGAAAGATACGACGTAATGCACTACTCATATGGTTGCTGAAAATTCGTCGACAGCCCAGGACCGGTTCGGCTCTACTTGAGACTGATCTATTAGGTGCAAGGCCCGAGTTTCTGTAGGCGCAGTCCCCGAGTTTCTGTCAACCTTAGGTTCTACTTGAAACCAGTTGCACGAAATCAGCTAACTACACTCATTTGCGAACTAATTTGATTTTTCGAGAGATCCACCTGAAACCCATCTGAATTTCTCATTTGTGATGTTTCCAGGCTACTGAATGTGCTGCACCAGGCCGCCTCATGTTTCAGTCACTAAGATATTCAAGGTATCGCAATACATGTCTATTCGTAATGCGCTACTCATAGGGTTGCTGAAAATTCGTCGACAGCCCAGGACCGATTTCGCCCTTTTTGGGGCTCATCAGGTAGGCGAATTCCCCGGGTTTCCGTCAACCTTATGTTCTGCTTGAAACCAATTTGCACGAAATTAGCGAAATACACTCATTTGCAAACCAATTTGGTTTTAACGGGAGAATCACCTGGAACACAGCGGAATCTTTCGTTTAAGATGTTTTTAAGCACCTGAATGTGCTTACTCAGACCTCATCATCATTGTATTTCGGTAATAATGATAACTGTCCGGCTGTGACACCGCCATCCGGCAGAAACACGAGGGCTGAAAGGTTGCCCAAACAGGAGAAGTCGAGATGCAGAAGTTGGGTTCGAACCACGGACCTTCCGTTCGGTACATTCGCGCTCTAACCACTGAGTCATTTCACCCCCCGATGGACCGAGATGCTAGTGTTTCGAAGCTAACCCTGCTTTCCGAATGCTCCTATTTAAACTCGAAAAGCCCAACAGTAGTCAAGACCTCACATTCTTTCCATATTGTATGTCGGCCACACGCTGAATGTGCCACAACTAAAGACAAACTGTACCAGTGGAGGAGACCACAACCCATAACACACTGAAACAGAAGTGTTTCTTGAACGAGCACTATTCACTATGCACTTCCATGGCACACAACCGGTTTCGCTCTTCTTGAAGGGTATCCAGTCGGTACAGTCCTTGAATTTCCGTCGGCACATCCAGCTGAAGAAGATCAGGTGGGGTTCCGTTGAGTCCCCCGTTAAAACCGAATCAGTTTGCAAGTGAATGTATTTCGTGAGTGGAGACCCCATTGCAACTTCGGGAAACAATTTGGTGCCCCGCTGGCTCACGCGATTAATGTCTCATGGTAGATGACCGATGTTTTTCATGGATGAGATTTACTGCCAAGTGGTTTTGGGAGTCAGCGGTGTATCGTAAAATAATCCTATCCATAGGAAAAGAAAAACGGGTGCCAAGCCTGGTGTCCTCGATGAGTACTCGGACCCTACTCAATAGACAGTCTCAAATCGCGCAAAGTCTATTGTCCCACTGTCAGGCGGGGGTTCTTACCAAGCTTGAGAAAGCTCAGTGGTTAAGGCGCGAAATTACTGGCCGAAGGGTCCGTGGTTCGAACCCACACTCAGCATCTCGAGTGCTCCTATGTTTGGGCGGCTTGGTAGTATCGCAGTCCTCGTGTCGCCTTCGAGTGACATGGCAGCTAGGCACCGAAAATGTTAAAAAAAAACTCGTTCAGACGTAGCACCCTTTCGGTGCCTAGCTACTATGCCACCCGAAGGTTGCACCAGGACTGAGATACTGCCAGGTTGCCCAAGCCTAGACAAGGAAGGCCTTCAGCTGTAGCACCCTTTCGGTGCCTAACTGCCATGCCATCCGAAGGAAGCACGAGGGCTGGGATACTGCCAGGTTGCCCAAGCCTAGACAGGGGAAGTCGAGATGCGGCAGAGGTCGGATTCGAACCACGGACTTTTCGGTCAGTAAATTCGCGCTCTAACCACTTTGGCCATCTCGCTGAATAAGTATACATTATTTTTTTAAATGCAATCTGCACAGAACATACCTTGAAGTCGAAATCCAACCCCGCAGAGGCTAAGACGGGAAGTGTTGGGTGTGACTCGATTACATTGACGGCACCATCGGCGTCGGCATGCAGCCACTGCACAATACCCTCGGACTCTCGATCCCAAACGTAGAAGAAGCCATCATCGCTCCCACTAACCACGTACTCGCTGTTCGGGCCGAAGAATGTGGCGCTAACAACTGGAAAAAAACAGTGCAAAGAGGGAATTTCGTCGCGTTAGGGTACAAAAAAGCAAATTTTTCGGGTTTTTTCCTAATACAGGGTGTATTCCCCTCGCCTGATCATCGCTCCTCCGATAGTGAAAAGGCAGTTCATCGTAGAAACTTCACAAAGGGGGGAAGACTACCTCCTCAACCCCAAAGAAGGCCACACTTTTCGCAGGCTTGGGCTTGTTACATCTAATAATTGAGTTCCCGACATTGCTCGTAGCCACTTGTACCTACAGGTGCTCACACTAGGATGGAAAAAATTTCTGGAAACTTCAGTCTCTTTGTAATACACTACTCATGAGGTTGCTGAAAATTCGTCGACAGCCCACGACCGGTTTCGCCCTTCCACTTTGGGCTCATCAGGTAGGCGCGCAGTCCCCGAGTTCCCGTCAACCTTATGTTCTACTTGAACCCAAATTGGACTGTTTTCGACAAATACACTCATTTGCAAATCAATTTGGGTTTTTCATTAGAGACTCAGCTCAATCTCTCGTTTGTGATATTCTACGACTGAATGTGCTGCACACAGGCTGCCCCATGTTTCGGTTGGCACAATATTGGAGATATCGCAGTATATTTCAATGAAGGAAACTACTCACAAGGTTGCTGAAAACTCTTCGACAGCTCACGACCGGTTTCGCCCTTCCACTTCGGGCTCATCAGGAAGGCGCGCAGTCCCCGAGTTTCCGTCAACCTCATGTTTTAACTGAATCTCTTCTCTTTTGCCCTTACCTCATTAGGGAGTGGGGGGTAGCTAGATTATACAAAGTTGTTGTATGCCAGCGTATCAGACAATGTCCATGATATTCTACAAAACAGAGCGATTCACTCAGGCTCACAAAAACACAAGGTGATCGAAAATTCTTACTTGTCTGCATATTACGGTGGCCAGAGTATTTGTGTAGATACGGACTGGAGGGACGGCGAGTATCAAATAAGTAGATATCTTCGTCATTGTAGGAGGCCAGGATAGCTGGGGGAGGATTGGGGGGAAAACACGAGTTATGAGACACAAGGAGCATGTGGGGTGCTCGAATCTCTTCCACACGAGTAGCTGTGAACCTACCATCGCCCTGATTACTGTATACCGCCGCGGTGACACTGTACTTTGAAGACTCAAGGTTGTAGGATGGATGTGTCGTGGTGGTACCTTCACCTCGACCGTTGGTGAACCGAAACGCTACCTGCGCACGACCTCTGAGGCCATTGAGGACGGCGCGAACTCGACGTCCGAGTTGGGCGGACAACGAATGCAGGAAATTGTCCGAATCAACATCCATCTCGTCCGCCTCCGAAGAGTCCGATGAGTCCACATCTCCGAAGGGGTTCGTGTGGTCGCTGGGGGATGAGTCATCGAGACCGGCGGGAAAGACTGGAGGAGTGCGACGTCCGAAAGATCGGAGGTGTGCGGCACCGAAACAGTGCAAATAACCACTTCGTGGGTCACGACCATCCATTTTGCGCCGATCATAAATGCTTAAAAGAAGAGGAGGGAAGCTGATGAACTGGGTGACGCGAGCAGCATTAGGAGAACGGCACAGGTGAACTTAGCTGCTCGGACAACCAGTCACAATGAATCAATCAGATCCGGCGTTTTTGTTTGTTCCCTTCGTAAAGCTACAGGAGCATTACATGAAAAGATTGCTTGACAGTATCGCCAGTGCTGTATGTTAACTGGGAAACATACGGAGGTTTGAACAAGAACAATGACACCGTTTGGCAATCGCACTTGGCGCGTCGGAGACAAGACATACAAAGGCTCCCAAGACAATCTACAGACTTTTATAGTCGATCTTGCATAGAAAAAAACTCGTTCAGATGTGACCCCCTTCCGGTGCCTAGCTGCCATGCTACCCGAAGGAAGCACGAGGGCTGGGATACTGCCAGGTTACCCAAGTCTAGACAAGGGGAAGTCGAGAGGCAGAGGTCGGGTTCGAACCACGGACCTTCGGGTCAGTAAATTCGCGATCTAGCCACTTGAGCCATCTCGCCCCTTGCATAGAGTCCTTGTATTTTCGAAAAAAACGTGGAAAAGACAGGACGATTTCCTCTGTTCTCTGTTTTTGGAGAGAAGGGCTCAGGAGGGGGGAGACTTGATCAGAAATCGATCCATAAAGGTTGTGGACTGCACTAGTCATTGCCCGGATACTGGGACCGATGCGCCTTGGTACAGCCCAAGTGCCAAGTGAGCAATGTGAGGATGTAACGACTGAACTATATAAAACTAATGAAGTTTGCTGAGTAAAACAATATAAGCAACTGATTACAAATCTATCAAAAGGGCTGGCAGATTTTGGTTCACACGAAGTACAAGACGGATGAAACTTCCACTCGGAAAGCCCGTCAATAGGTGTGACCACGTGACGTGGTTTCTGAATGTGACTGTATTCTGTCCAAATGAGAGTCAATCACACTGGTGTCCAGTTGCTCGTTAATGTTGAAACACTGGCCGGAAAGTCGGCGGGTTCAAGAGTGCCTACTGGAATTTCTTGAGATCCGCACAGCTGACGAAACAGCTGTACAGCGCATCCCAGTCTTGCAGCATAGCCTGTCTTCACTGATAGGGTGAAATCTCATTTGAGAATTACACCAACCCGAGCGGAATGTGGAAAAAACGTATCGAACAGTGGGAACGGGGGAAAACAGTTGGAGAGAGAGCATCGCATCGGAGTGACCCGTCTCAGCACCATGAACAATGAGATCCGGGACCCTTTAAAGATAGTTCCGATCTGGGGCGAGATGGCCCGATGGGGTTAGAGCGCGAATTTACTGACCAGAAGATCCATGGTTCGAACCCGAACTCCGGCCACTCGACTTCCCCCGTCTAGGCTTGGGCAACCCGGCAGTATCCCAGTCCTCGTGATTCCTTCGGGTGGCATGGCAGCTAGGCACCGGAAGGGTGCTACAGCTGAACGATTTTTTGCATGGATATTCAGACAACAACGATTTGCAAACAGCACATTCTGAAAAAACGAACGACCTACCGAATAATTGATTCGTTTCGACCACACAGGGCGACTTCGTTCGGGTAAATTGGATTGGACGCGATCGAAAAGAATTCGGAGAAGGGTAGCCAAAGTATACTGCGGGAAAAGAACAAGATGGGAGAAAGGAAAGTGATACGTATAAACAGGACGTTTGTTGGCACGATGGGAAATTATTACAGGCTTCGATAAATACACTCATATGCATATCAACTCGGAGACTCTGATGAATCTCATGTTTATGATATTCTTCAACTAAATGTGCTGAATGAAGGCCGCCTCGGGTTTCAGTTGGTGCGATATTCGAGATATCACAGTATATTTTCATAAGGGAAACTACTCACAAGGTTGCTGAAAACTCTTCGACAGCCCACGACCGGTTTCGCCCTTCCACTTTGGGCTCATCAGGTAGGCGCGCAGTCCCCGAGTTCCCGTCAACCTTATGTTCTACTTGAACCCAAATTGGACTGTTTTCGACAAATACACTCATTTGCAAATCAATTTGGTCTTCACGGGAGACTCGACTGAATCTCTCGTTTCTATGAGGTTCTTCAACTGAATATGCTGCACACAGGCCGTCTCATGTTTCAGTCGGTACGATATTCGAGATATCGCGATACATGTACAGACGTGATACACTACTCACAAGGTTGCTGAAAATTCTTCGGCAGCCCACGCAGGTAATTCTGCGGGAACTAAAACACTTTCTTTCCTTTACGAAAGTATCACAGGCCTTCATACAGTTACACACCAAGGTCAAAGTGTTAATTTGAAGCGCTGGATTGAAAAATGTGACCTCATTATCATCAGTATCATTGTATCTTCATTTCCGAAATAAAGACGATAGAGGGTATCGATTTTACGGGCATCTGTATGGTCAACAGTAGCATGAATCACAAATGATGATCAAAAAGACCGGCGAACGACCACAGAAAATTCTATTTAAAGGCCTTACAGTTCCAAGGAGAGCGGACAAGAGACACACGCATTGCAAACTCAGAGACGTCTGCACAAAGTACATTTGTCTTGACAGACACCGAATTCGCGGGAGCACCGCAGGACTGAGAATCCGTAGTTTACGGCACTGCAAGTTTTCCGGGCAACCAAGAATCCGTTCCTCAAATATCTCACTGCAGAACTGTTGACGACATTCTGCGCCAGCCACAGTGTGTGAGATCCTCCGTTCGTTAAAGACAGGCCTCGCAAAGCAAGACAGTCACGATGTACGGAGGCCAGCCCTCCATAATAACCGAACATTACATCATGTGGACGGATGTGTCACGTGCAGGACACGGACCAAACGAAGGCATGCCCTGAATGGTTGAGAACGCCAGCCAATCCGAGTCGAGCATCTTGGACTCGACGCTTCTCGCCCCGTCACGGAGAATCTGGCACGACCTTGTGGAACACTCTGTGGCTACCCTATAGATACAGCTGTCTTTTGTCTCTATAAACGGGTGTCCTAAGCTGCCGTGCCTTTTGGTATACCATAGTGAGTGGAACACGAAGTCAAAGGACCGATACAGAGGTGCAAGATCGTCAATCAAGCCGCAACTCATGATCATCACTAGTGAAAGCAACATTGCTACTTCATTGCCACACAACCTTGTCACTTGATTTGGACAAAGCCTTACATAATGGGAAGGGGAAAAATGGACAGAGAACGAGATCTAAGACTAGCCTACCACGAGTATCCCATGTGTCTACTCTGTAAGACAATCTAGATAGAAACTAAAAGCATGAAAGCTACTGACATCGGTTATTTGCCATCTCGTCCAATGCCTCCAGCCGAACTCAGGGCGGCGTGAACCTAGAATGGAAAAGAGAACCCAAACTTTTGCCAACTTCCTTCATTCCCCTCCACCATGTCAAGTTCCCTCCACCTACGCCACTGCGAATCGAGTGTGGATTGGTACCCTCTGCCTCATCAAAGGGGAGAAGAGCGAGAGAAGAACGAATGTGTGAAAGAGAAAGAAGGGAGGCGTCAGCAGTAGCCTGTTTTCGCTTACACGCCCTGCTGTATGCAGCAAGTACGGCGACCCGGCTGATTGCACCACGCGACGGCCGATGTGGCATGAGAGTATTGTTAATTGTGTAGGTCATGGTTGTACGAGAGCTGGGTGCCCACACGTAGACAGGAGGACGATTAGGATCCTCAACCAAAGCCTTTGGCTCAAAAGCCTAACCACAAATCGGTGGTCTTCGGTGTAGGGACAGCTCACGTTTTGGGGGAGAAACCTACAGGACGAGAGGACTATGTTAGTCAGACATCTACCTATTGACCATCCTGGTATGAGAGACTTTGTGAGTGTCACACGTACACTCTTCACCGTAGCTTAATAGGTTATGGAAAAGCCTCTTCATGACGGTCAAAAAATCACATCGTACTGTAGACCAGTAGATGCGAGGCTTCAAACGTACTGACACACCTTTAGGTGCGAACTGGATTCGTGTCCTTGAGGTCAGTTCACTGACTTCATCGGACCAGGTACAACTCATTGCCCTCCGCCCTTCTATGACGGTCTGACCGACGGCACTCGTGCCCTCTTCCTTTTCAAGAAGGGTGTCACCAGGGCAACAAGGTTCTCACACGCAACAATTTAGACGAGTTGAAAACCGGCGTGCATCTCAGCGAGGCACCAGAGAGTCGTTCAGCTGTAACACCCTTTCGGTGCCTAGCTGCCATGCCACCAGAAGGAAGCACGAGGGCTAGGATACTGCAAGGTTGCCCAAGCCTAGACAGGGGAAGTCGAAGGGCAGGGTTCGAACCACAGACCTTCCGGTCAGTAAATTCGCGCTGTAAACAGTGAGCTATCTCGACCCGGTAGAGAACGCAACAGGAGTAAAAATGCAAAACCAGACGTTGTACGCACACTCCCAGACATTGAAACGAGGACAGAATCACGTTAGATCCAGGTTAGAACCGACCTAACACTAAAGTTGAGTTCGTAAATTACAACCTGAGAGCAGGATGCCTTCGTAAAAAAAGTGATGAGGCTCTGTCGGACCAAGTGACAAATTGAGCTGAAGAACGCAGGAAATAAGATATTTATCAGGAAGGCCAGATTCCTGGAAGCAACTACCAAATGCCCGAAATCTACTGAGACTCTCAGCTCCGCTGGGTGTCAACCAGACAGACAACGCCCCCTCAATATGCAGCGCGTCGCAGACTCGTGCCAAGGCCAGACCGCGTGCGTCAGCATTGGACCAAGTGCAGACAGTGTCCCTCCAATAAATAGCCTGAGACCCTTGTACATTCGCACTCGCACACACTCACGCCCTCGCATGTTCGGAATATGGCTGTTGTGTTCCCTTCTGTGGGTCTTTTTTTCGGCACTAGGCAGTGGAGCAGATCAGCAGTTAGATGCCACAGATTGGCGAATCAGCAGATATGACAATATTGTACTGAATTTCAATTTGTTATGAATACAACGAGTCGGAACCTCGGAAGCCAGCCACTTGGCTTGACGAAGCTTTTGTGTCAAAAGCGAAACGTTGACCAGCAATAAATTTACCGATTGTTACATAAATTTTCCGAAAACGAGTTAGTGTTTGGCTCCCTAACTCACTCCATCTTGCTTCCAGCCTCCAAAGAAGATTTCTGATCTGTTCAGGGTAGCCCAATATTTTGAATTGTAGAAAAAGCAAGCTTTTGCTAAACTGAACAACTAAACACAACGGGTTTTAGGAGATTAAAATTATGTCAGTAGTATAGAAAAACCATCCGACAGGTGAAGAGCGTCTGAAGATACNTAGACACGGACAGAAAAATATCGAAGGTTATGAAACGTTTAGGTGTTGTTTGCCTTTCAGGATCGGGTTCACGTGAACCTCCCTGTGCTCGGCTGGAGACACAGAACGATATGGAGGCTAACTGACGCCAGTGGCATTCAAAGTGCCCATTTCCATCCACATTGCCCAGCTGTGTTTTAGTTGTATGCACCTCGGACGCTTCTGATTGGTTAGTTCTAGGTACTATTCCAGATCCCATTTTTCTCTCTCCATTATGGGGTTTTACTCAATTAAATTTACAAGGTTGTACATTTTAAAGCATCAGCATTCTTTGTTGATGTTGTTGCCAGTGGTGATGGATGTAAGCAGGCTGAACATTACTCACTTATCCGCTTTTGGTGTCCGAACATCGATAGAAAATACTTGACCGTCTGCGCCAGCTGATAGGACAATGTGAGGTTCCCCATGCGGGAGGGCGAGTTTGTGACAAGAACGATTGTGTGCCACGAGGAGACGAGGGGAACCGACAAGAGAACCGTCTGAGGCAAGCTCAGCCAAGCGGACCTCCGAGTCACAAGCACAGGACACTATTTTAGTGTCATTAGTCTCTGGGAGGAACTTCACCTGTGTTAGAAATAAGAGGGTAAAAGAAGCAAAGTTGTGTAATATACATTTCAACCAAAGGAACTTCAGTTGTGTCCTGCCGTTTATGCTATGAAAAAAGACCAACAATGTGAGACCAGCCTTGAATAAAGAAAGAACGCGGCTCGCCACTGGTGAACAGAACAGACGCAAGGTACGTTGCCTGAATAAGCCTTGCAGGGGACTAAAATGCGCTGCATATTTTACATCTGGGAACAGACCTCTCATTCCCAATGCGAATAAAATATAAGTATCAAAGGAATCCGCTATGAGAAGCATGCGCCATCTGGAGACTTCAGTATACTTGGAGTCCGCGACAGTAGAGGAAGATAGGCTGTTTCTCAATTTAACTACTAGATCGTTTTCAGTAGTTGGATTTCAGAAGCAAAAATGTGTGCAGCGGAGCCTGTCAGGGAGACTGTTTATGGTCAAAGAAAAACGGACAAACCGTGGATATCACCAGTGGAGGTGAGCTTAAGGCAACACGCGCTCCTATCAAGTATGGTACAAAATATATTTTAATGTAACGTGAGCGATTCGGTGCGGATCAATTTCTCAATTTAACTACTAGATCGTTTTCAGTAGTTGGATTTCAGATGCGAAAATGAGTGGGTGGTGCATGTTTAGGGTCAGAGAAAAACGAACAATCCGTGGGTATCATCAATGGAGATGAGCTTAAGGCAACAGGCGCCCATATCAGATATGATACATATATATTTTTTCATGTAATGTAGGCGATTTGGTGCAGATTAACCAGGAGGCAAGTTCAATCGCAACTTTTTCTTGACGAGCACGCTACTCATTAGGCTGCTTGGAATTTCCTTCCAAAGCCCATGACTGATTTCATCCTTTTTGGAGTTCACCAGAAAGGCGAAATCTCCGAGTTCCCATCGACTTTGTTAATTTGCAACCAATCAAATACCGTGCCTTGACTCAGACAAGGTTGCCCAGGAAAAATCAGTCATGACCCAGCGCCACATCATTCTGGAAAACCGTGGCTGTTATAAACGATGTTCCGATGATGACGAACAGGTCAGTTAGACGAGAAAGAAAATTTAAGAGCCATCGATGCCTTTCTAGCCACGCGCGATCAGGATGGTGAGCCACCTCGAATAACTTGGAACGAATTTCTGGCATGAAAGAACAAGAACAGAATGATTGATCTGTGTGGGGAAGGGGGAAAATCCAGGAGTACTAATAGTATATACAAAACAAAGTACACGCTAGGCTCTCGATGTGAAGTTGTTCACGGCAGTCTACACCCATCGGGATAGAAGCATTCCGATCAATGGATTGACTGCATGCCGTTCGCACTTTGTCCAATCGGCTGAAATGTGTTAATCATAGCTCGAATTGAATGACCAACCTAGAACTTACGAGATACGCCATTCTGTGGACAGCGACATTGTGGTCATTCGACCCTAACTGTCTTGGGGTGATGACAAAATATTAAAATACAAGTGCAGCATTAATAGTACAGAATCCACTACCAACCACGGAGTCAAGTGCCTCATACACTCACACAAACCATCAATGGCCTGCGGGTCCGTACGAACCGGTGATATGAGTGCCAGCAGAGTAGTTCAACAGTAAAGTAATGTTGTGGGTATTGACGCACCGGAATCGTCAACAACTTTGCGCGGTTGTGTAGCTACGAATGTGACCGGTTCGTGGCTGTGAGTCCCATGGCCTTGTCATCGCCTTGGTAACTACGATACTGACGAAGTCATCCTCGACTTTCTTAAGGATCATTATTCCTCGGAAAACGCCATGAATTGGTTGAACAGGGTGTTGGAGCATTAATCATTGATTGACTGGTTCTGATTCAAATAAACGGCCCTGGTCGTTAGGATCGAACCCTTCAAATCTGTGAAACCGATTTCCCCGGTCATAGTGCAACGGTGGATACTACTGATGGGGCATGCGAGTAGTGTTTCCTCGCAAATCCGCTCCACGTCTCTTGAAAAGTGAGATCTACTGAGGAATTTGTGGACTCGCTTTGTAGCATTTACTTGCATTTGAGCAACAGTCAATGAATATCTGGAAAACTTCAGGAAGAGGCGTTCAAAGAAAGGATGGATATTCAGTTTTTTCTAAATAGGATGCATAGGAGAGTTTTGCTTCCCTGTCCAATAGTCTGTAACCGGTCAGTTGATATTTTCTAATAAATAGCTCCGCAGCGGAGGCTTGATATTTCGACCTTGTTGCACCAACCTGCACTCCCCCCCCGTCTGTATTATCCGTCAAGCTGTTGAGTTGCGCACGCGTCTGGCTTGGAAGCTGTTGCGCCCAGCTAACATGTGGACACGGATCGGATCGATACACAAGTCTACGTCTACTCTCGTCCAGTTAACACCGACGGTTCCGATAAACACAACTGATTAAAGTGCAACGTGACCTTCGTGTGTGAACGTACTATAAACAATAGGCTCGAATTTACATGTCATTTTGGAAAAAAACACGTCTAATGGAAAACGTTCATCGACCCACGTGAAAGATGTTCATGGCGTGCCCCGTCGAGTACTTGGCAACTTGTTCCTTGGTGATCCAGTTGGTGACAACCACTTTCAAATCGTCGGAACCCGAGGCGATCAGGTTTCCAGAGGAATTGAAGGTCAGAGCGTTGACACATCCACGATGACACTACGATAGAAAGGGTCGCAAGAATGGTGAATATTGGGTGGGGATCAATAAACAATTAGCGACAAATGTTGAGCTTAGCAGGGTGGGAACCAAGCATAAACCACGAAGACCCTTTTCGTGGTAGCGGAAGTTCGAGAAAAACTTCAGTCGTTTGGGCCATTTCGGAGACCAGCTGCGCGAACAGCGCACTCCGAGATGGCTCAAGTGGTTAGAGCGCGAATCTACTGACCAGAAGGTCCATGATTCGAACCGGACCTCGGCCTCCCGACTTTCCGTGTCTAGGCGTGGGTAACCTGGCAGTATCCCAGCCCTCGTGCTTGCTTTGGATGGCATGGGAGCTAGGCACCGACAGGGTGCTACAGCTGAACGACTGCTATTTATTATTTCAGAGAGGTATGGTGAACGATGACTACCCAATCGGTCCCAAACATTTTTCAATTGACCATTATTTATTATTTTTACTCCGATTTAAAACAACCAATTGGATTGGAAATAAAAGTGGTGCAATGCCACCTTCCCAGCATTGACAATTCGTCTCGGGACAGCTCTTTCGTAACGGAAAAAAAGCTTTATATTACTGAATATTGTATTGCTGCACGGGTAACCCGATGCACTACACCTGAAGGAACCACGAGGGCCAAGGTGCTGCCAAACCCTAGCAGGAGCAGTCAAGATGCCAAGGTTGGGTTCGAACCACAGACCTTCCAGTCCGTAAGTTCGCGCCTTAACCACTGAGCTATCTCGAGCTCAAACCGAGGCCCTGACTGAAGTCAATTTCCAGCATTCTTTGTCAAGGGAAAGGATCTTGTTCTATAAACGTCACAGCAACAGTGGCGAACTTGGTTGTAGTCAGCTGTAATCGAACAGACCACCGTGAAACGAAGGATGACAACTCTCTATGATCGAATGTATCCTAGCACGTGTAATTCGGTAAGCTGGATATAGTCCCGTACAAGCAAGTACCCGTTTTCCAGTTCATCCGCTGACCACGGACGCCATAATATAACACGAAGATACCCTCTATTATCCACACGAAGATGTCATCGCTCAGCTTTAGCACCCTTTCGGTGCCTAGCTGCCATGCCACCCGAAGGTTGCAAGAGGGCTGGGATACTACCGGGTTGCCCAGTCGAGGGGCAGAGGTTGGGTTCGAATCACAGACCTTCCGGTCAGTAAATTCGCGCTCTAACCATTTTGTCCATTGTTGTGTCTTGCTGAACGGTAGTGGAACCCTGTATCGGTCCCTCGGCTTCCTGCTCCACCGGCAGCTCTACACAGCCTTTTATGGAGACAAAGGGAAATTATTACAACTGTATTTATACGGTAGTCACAGTGTTCCACAAGGTCGTGTCAGAATCTCCGTGAGGGGGCGAGAAGCGTCGATTCAAGGGTACTTGACTCGGATTGGCTGATATTCTGACCAATCAGGGCATGCCTTCGTTTGGCCCGTGTCCTGCACGTAACATCCGTCCAAATGATGTGGTGTTCGGACATTAGGGATGGCTGGCCTCCGTACAGCCATCTCGCCCAGAAGGTGTCACGTCAGGCAACTCTACCTAAAAGCACAGCCCACAGTACAGAGACCTAGGGGTAAGCCAGTGGAGTGCGATGAATGGCGAAAACCGATGAACGAGTCTGGCATTGAGTTGCCACCGAAATGAGGGTGATTTCCAGAAGCAAAGGGCGTAAACAGCTCAAAAATTGTCCATTTCGGTGCCTAGCTGCCATGCGACTCGAAGAAAGTACGAGAAATGGGGTAAAGCCAGAGGTATTCGAGAGGTAGAGGTTGCGTTCGAACCCCAGACCTCCCGGTCAGTAAATCTGCGCACTGACAACCGAACCATCTGGCCCCCATCGAACAACACAAGGTCACTGCAACGGTCACAAAGTGCGTTGGGATTAGTAATCCTGTGAACTATGGGGAAAAAATAAAAAACATCAATAGTGTGATGAAACCACTAACTTGGTTTGCAAGTGCCGAGTTTCCACAGCCTGCCGTTCAATTTAAAACGCAGACAATTGATCACAATCGAGGTGTCTGACGAACCAAATTCACAACTCAAATATGAGCGCATTCACCCAGTCGAGGCGTAGGAGTAACACACCCGCTCTACAAGTCAGGTGACCGGAGTTCAAAGTCCAACAAGACTCAACGCCACCACATTTGGAGTGGAATCCATAGAACCACGGCATCATGGCACTGAGAATACAGTTCAAATGAGCTCGAGATATCTGAGTGCTTAAGGCGTGAACTTACTGACTGCAAGGTCCGTGGTTCGAACCCAAGCGCGGCATCTCGACTCCTCCCCTGTCTAGGCCTGGGCAACTTAGCCGTATCTCAGCCCCCATTGCAACTTTCAGGTGGCACGCAGGCTAAGCACCGAAAGGGTGGTACAACCGAACGATAACTATTTTACTAGGTGAACCCTAATCCCAACTTTGGGACTGAGCGATTCGTACATCAAACAGCTACTAATGGCCCTAAGGTGCGAAATGCAGTTCCTATGCAGCATATTGTACGGCCGCCAGTGAACAGGGATGAAGCAACTGTCCACTGCTTTTCGGTTTCGTGCGCATCGATCGAATACACGATCATTAAAAATATGAAACTAAGATTATTGGATCACACAAGCACACGCGAGTGGCCTAAGAAACCCATCGAGAAATCCACTCCGACAGAATACACAGCAAACAGTTGGATGGGGCTGAGCAGCGCGCAATATTGCCAAATTTAGTGTCCAATTAGAACCAGAAAAAGCAACAGAATGCTTATGATCTTGCCTAAATGTGAACCAGCCGCACTCGCTTCGTGTGTAATGATCGATATCAGCGGTTACAAACCGTACACCTAGTGTACGGTAGTTCAAGCCCCCGATATTTTGGAAACTAAAAAAATTGGACAGCTGCATACAGAAGACAGTGGCCAGTGTCGTTAACACGTGATCCCAAGGTTGGCGCTGGACTTTCCACTAAGGAGAGCGAGGGCGAAGCTATGCACTTATGGCATAATCGGTCCTGCGCAGATGAAACCACAGGAAATGTGATAGCCGACCTATTTGGATCCATCTTGCCCACCCGCGCATCCTTGGAAGAAGACAAGCAAAAACAACCGACGGACAAACGAGGCACTCGGTCCCTGTGTTAATGAGGACCGTAGACGAGTCCAGCTTTAGCACCCTTTCGGTGCCAGACTGCCGTGGCCACCCGGACGAAGCACGAGGGCTGGGATACTACCAGGTTGCCCAAGCCTACACAGGGAATGTTGAGAGGCAGAGGCCGGGTTCGAGCCACGGACATTCCGGTCAGTAACGTCGCGCTCTAACCGTTGGAGCCATCTCTAGACAGGTCAGTCAACGCGGCAACTGTCGAAAAGAATGTTTGACCATGAGGCTCTCACAACGCAGGATCGTCGGGGGTTCGTCCATCCTAACTATAAGAGCAGAAACATTGCTGCATGTCACATTGATATTAGAGGAGATAACCATCCAATTGCAACACCCTTTCGGTACCCAACTGCCATGCCACCCAGAGGAAGCACGAAGGCTGGGATACTGCTAGGTTGCCTAAACAGGGAAAGTCGAGAGGCAGAGGTCGGGTTCGAACCAGTAACGTCAGCAACGTCGCGCTCTAACCACTTAAGCCATCTCACCCTGAGTGGTCTTCCTCGTTACTCTATTGGACAACAAAAATTTGATTTCTGCTGCGGAGATGGTTCGGAAAAGAGGAAGAAGAAGGCTCCGCTTGAGAGCACCCGCGAAGAAAGCAACCTCCCATGAAGGATAGAGTTTAGTCATCGATAGTCGATGTATAAAAGAAGCAGAAGCGAGGATCTCAAACCTTTAGACAGCTTCTTTGCCCGGTACAAGGTTTAACCGTGACTCATTCAGCATTAGGCTTATATTCGACAACTCGCTTCTTCTATCGCTGGGCGAAGACAGTAAACCATGTACGAAGATTCGCAAACGCAACCACATGTGTCTGTCTCAGCCGTTAGTTCATCACCCTCTCGAAAACAAGTGGATGACTCAAGTGTTACGGGTTAGTTGTTAATCATACGAAAAATCAACCGTAGACCACAAAAGGGGTTTTTTGACACCTGTTGACAAGATGAAACATGGATTGGTTCTAGGTTACTATCTACGAAACTAGCAAGAGCAGAAATCTACGCCCGTAACAAGAACTTCGAAAAGTGTAATCCTTAGGCACCCCGCATGCAAGTGTGTTTAAGTGAGTGTATGTGAGAATGACGCACTCTGCGCAACTCCAAATGGAGACACTGTTGAGGATGATGGTATCCCCAAAAAGTTCTTTGTTGTCAAACTAATTTTCTCAAATGTGAACTTTGAATCTTCGGACCTTTTCCCGCCATGTTGGATATGCTTCCGGAAGAACGCGTTTCGTTCCTATTGGCTGATCACAATTCGTATATCGTTTAGCTGTAACACCCTTTCGGTGCCTAGCTGAGGTGCCACCCGAAGGTTGCACGAGGGTTGAGATACTGCCAGGTTGCCCAAGCCCAGACAGGGGAAGTCGAGAGACAGAGGTGGGGTTCGAACCACGGACCTTTCGGTCAGTAAATTCGCGCTCCAATCAATTGGGCCATCTCGCCCCCACTTTGTATATACAAATGCATTTATCAGTCTTCAAGGTCATCCAATATAAATATAGTTACCCCCATTGTACATTGCCTTTGATCGAGCAGCAAAAACTCCCTAGAAGGTGCGATCTTTTTTCTCTGCGCTGGGAGAGGTTGGGCCCGCGTCGTAGCTGGGGATCTATGCGCTCGTTCTCACGTCGCATATAGCCATGATCGTAACAGATACTATGTTATACCGAACATTCATAGATAAAATCCGCTGCGGTAATCCTGAATACAGAAAGGCTACGGAAGAAGTAACCTGCTCCTCAGAGGAACAGGGGAGCACAAATACGAACGGTGACAATACACAAGCGACCCAAATCAGCCACTCGCCCAGCGTACACTCGGTAGTAACTTTTCAATCGGGTATGGATGGAGGTTGAAACTCTCGAGGTGACTAACAACTCTAGGTAAGTTATCAAAGTTTGGAATGAAGGAACGAATTAAATGAAACACGGTTTCATCCTAGACATTACATATAAAACAAACGTATCCACCGTGCGGTCATATGAAAATTGTCCGTGAATCCTAGAAAACAAGGGTTTTTATGGATTTGGTGGTGTCCCACCACAACAGATGGTGCTTCGTGCCTAAACCTGTCCCGAGGCGGGTGGCTCTAAATAATCGAACATCATGCCGATTTGACGGATATGTCGCCAGCGGATGAAGGCATGCTCTGAGTGGTCAGAACACCGGCCAATCGGAGTCGAGCCTTTTTAGCTTGGTGCTTCTTGTACGCTCACGAAGATTCTGGCGTGACCTTGTGGAATATTTTGTGACAAGCCTGTAAGTGCAGTTCTAGTCATTTTCTTTTGCCTCTCAAGTTACTGCGCCTTTTGCTACACCATAGTGGCTGAAACAGGAAACCAAGGTGCGCCGTTCGAAAGACACAACAGAACACGTTCGGCTGTAGCACCCTTTCGGTGCCTAGCTGCCGTGCCACCCGAAGGTTGCAACAGGGCTGGGATACTGCCAGGTTGCCCAAGTCGAGAGGCAGAGGTCGGGTTCGAACCACGGACCTTCCGGTCAGTGAATTCGTGCTCTAACCACTTGGGTCATCTAACCCCCCCCCCAACAAAGCACGAACCCACCCACTACTCCGAACAGAGCAAATCTCCAAGGAGGGCGTGTTTGCGTAGGACTTTAAAACAATAGAGAGAATTTTGTGTCGAGTCAGAAATTTTGTTCGAAATTAAATTGGAAAAATCAGCACTTCGAAGAAAACACCGTTAACAAACCTTGAACTTGTTTTCCAAATGCAAGCGCGAAACCGCCCACAAACTGCCTTGTACTAGTTCAGAGAATGTTTGAGGATCAGCATGTCGTGTCCCTCGCTCTCGGTGCCCCTGAAGCTGGAGCCCATCAATTCGGGGCGAACCTTCACAACGCCACCGTGAAGCTTTGTAGCGGACGCGTCTGGATTTCGGAGCTGGTCCAATGTCACCTTGCTCACGGGCTAGAATCAAGTTGAAAGGATGTCTTAGGAAGGTATCTGTAGTGGTAGGAGGCGGCGTTGAATCCTTGTCGATAACAAGAGGGGTTGTGACGGACTGCTGATTGTTGACTTCCAGTGTTGAGTAGGGGGTTGGTGAAAAGGTGCGCGGGAATCGAGAACTTCCTATGTGATAAGCACTCCCGATGCGAAGGTCTCGGCGGAGCTGTTTCTGAAGGCAAATTGAAATGAATAACAACTAAATACTTGTCAGGAGTGGCCGCATAGCGACAGGGGAAAACTACCAGAAAGACATTAATTTGGTCGCGAAGCGAAGCTATCTGGCTGAACAATCGGGGTTTGTTTCGTTGGGTGTCAGTTTGTCCAGTCTGTCTACCTTACCGATCGGCGCTTCTGCGACTACGACCAGAATTTGTAGGACGAACAAACGCTCTTGAAAACAAAAACCAGTATCACTTGAGTATTCTGATTTATCCAAGAGACGTCATTCTGAGCCAGGCCTTTGAAAAAGCAAAATAACTCAGTCCGAAAGACCTAGTTTACAAAACTACGATAGAAGGGAACCCTATCAGAACCTGCGCCCCCGAAAAGGTTGACACTAAGATTACTTGAAGCTCATAGTAAATGGTCAATGCCTTCTTGATATTGACATTTCTAAAGGTATGTAGACGCAAGCAACTGTTGATGTTGTGGGTTTGTCGGACCAGCATAAAGTAGCCGAACTTAAGGAAGCTTATCGTACCACTTGGAACATAGTCATAAGTGACAAACATGGTCAAGCGCCGTCCAGAAATTGCATATCCCACGCAGGGAGAGATGTAAAAAAAAGTACAAACGTGGAGTATTCAGGCAAGGTTCGTCCACGGAAATTAATACAGCTCAAACGCCAGCTCTTTATCATGCCTTGAGTACACAGTAGGCCTGTAGCCCCTATAGGCAATTCAAGGAGTGCCATTGGAGGTTGCGGAGCGCTATACGCATCTCGGAATTTTCTGTTGTCATTGTTCGCCTTCCGGAATGGGGTCCACGTGACCCCTCCCGTGCCTGGCTGGATACACTGTTTTGGTTGTCAGAAAGCGTACTCGTAGGTGCCTTTACTAAGTTGTTGGTGGAAGGGGTAGGCGAGTCGGTGAAATGAAGTATCCAAGCTTACAACAATTGCTCAGTTGATAGAAAATGCATCCCCTGACGAGATTTTGCTTCGATTCGTGGGCTATCTTATTAGTGGATCGCCTGTGCGCATATTATTAGCTAAACCGTCCGACCAGGGTTCCTCCTCAATACCCTCGAGAACAGTGCTCTTCAGAGCCGACTCTACCTCAATTCATTTTCCCTGCCTCTTCCATGCATCAACCGGGGAATTTACCATGAATCTCGCGTCCGAGGCCGAACTAGGGGAAAAGCTTAAGACCCATGCGAAACTGCCAAGTCATTCTCAGTCTAGGAAAGAAACGAGACAAAAGTCAACGAACAGTGCCCGTCGAAAACGACACCGCTGCAGTCCGTCGATAAAAACGGACGAAGAGCGACAGACCTCCGTACCTCGTCGACGCCAAAGCAAGGGCTGGACGGGTGTCTAGTCTAGTAGAGACACTCTCGCTCGCACATCATCCACACCAGGGTTGAGTAGCCTAGGGTGAGAAGAGTAGCCGAGCAGCCAGGATAGTTACGGTGCTCGCATTTGACGGACGGTATACGTCAATGCAAGAAGGCATCCAGCAAACGAGGAAGAGCAGCAGTTGTCCTCATTGCTTCAAAGTTCGAAAGTATCTAGTCTAGTAGAGACATTCTCGCTCGCACATCATCCACACCTGTAGGTGCGGTCTCAGCAAATTTTGTGCCACCAGGGTTGAGCAGCCTAGGGTGAGAAGAGTAGCCGAGCAGCGACGGGTGTCTAGTCTAGTAGAGACACTCTCGCTCGCACATCATCCACACCAGGGTTGAGTAGCCTAGGGTGAGAAGAGTAGCCGAGCAGCCAGGACAGTTACGGTGCTCGCATTTGACGGACGGTATACGTCAATGCAAGAAGGCATCCAGCAAACGAGGAAGAGCAGCAGTTGTCCTCATTGCTTCAAAGTTCGAAAGTATATTTTGACGCATTTGAGGTGGCTACTGCAGACGGGCGCCCCGAAATCGTCTCTCAGGATGATGTAAGGTATAGGAAAACTAACAACTGCGGAATTCGGACCTGCAAAGAGAGCTCCGCGGCATTCAAATTACATGTTCTAAACGTAGCAACTATGAGGCGTAAGTAGCACATTCATCGCAAGATATGATGCATGGCAAATCCAATCTATACCACACCCAGCCAACGCTTAGCAGACACCAATTCACAAGCCACGAGAGTCTTCGTACACACCCTACATCCCCTACATCCCACTGATCTCGGAATAGCAGTGCTTAAGGCGCGAACGTACTGACCGGAAGGTCAGTAGCTCGAACTCAACCTCAGCATCTCGATTTCTCGTGTGTAGGCTTGAGCAACCTGGTGGTACCTTAGCACTCGTGACTCCTTCGGGTACCATAGCAGCTATGCGTCGAAAGGGTGCTACGGTCGATCAATGCGCGTAAAAGCCACGATCCTCAACCATAAATCACGCCTTATTGTATACTATGCCCTTTGTAAGCAAACCGATCTCACACCGTCGCCATAAATGCCAGAAGTCTGAAAAGCTGACCTGGTCTCTTGGATTCGACAAGTAATCTAGTGACCAATCTATCGAAACTTATACAACTGCCCAGGTAAACAAATTCATCTACTATGTCAATCGGCTTGTGTGCAAGCATAGGGTCTTGGCTTAATCTCACCTGGTCGTATAGCAGCACTTTCGCAGTAGTCGTAAGCACACAGTGCAACAAAAGTATTTAGGCAACTCAAAATGGCATATATTGTTTAATGTGCGTCAACAAAAGCCACGGATGCCTCCGAAGTTTCCAAGACAGACGGGGAAATTTCAAGTACCGCATCAATGAGAAAACTGAATAGCGGTTAGAGAGGACAGCCCTGCTTCACACAACCAGAGGTGGTTTATTCAGGGGAGAGCTTGCAGTATTGCCGTACACAGCCACAGGATTCTGCACGCAGTGCCAACAAATGGGATATAAATTTGGAAAAGACACCTAAGGCCGACCGACGGCGTCAAAAGCAGCTCTCAGATCAAGAAAAACGACTAACATGGCAAGCTCGGAAGAGTGGTGCTGCTCAAAAACTTGCCGGGGTAAACACACCGTCGACGCACCCTCAGCCAGGGTGAAACTTAGCAGTCTGAAGAAAATGAACCGTAGCGTAGTGTGACGGTTTGTGTGCCTCCTTGTGTGCCTCATTAGGCTATGCTAGCGAAGTATCTCTCAATGGTTGGAAGTCTGAACAAGATAATCTCCCGGTCCACCATGTCGGGAGCTAGAACATATGTGGAGACTTGTTCCATAAAAACGGTAATGCACTTGCATATCCCACCATTCACCGTTGCACTGCAGTCAGGCTTGCGAGCCAAAGACTTTGGTTCAGGACCCCAATGGTCCTCCTGTCTAAGTCTGGACACCGTGGCCCTTGCTCTCACACTGGACTATCTTGATATTGCTGTGAGTTGGGTATCGGAAACGAGAATTTGAGATGCCAGCAAAGCGATTGTGCCAAGTGTCCCATTACTCTCCACTCGCTTTCAGCTGCAAACCTCTAGCGATCCAGAGTTCGTTGCGGGGGCGAGATGTCTCAAGTGGTTAGAGCGCGAATTTACTGGCCGGAAGGTTCGTGGTTCGAACCCGACCTCATCCTCTCGACTTCCCCTGTCTAGGCTTGGGCGACTTGGCAGTATCCCAGCCCTCTTGCATCCTTCGTGTGGCATGGCAGCTAGGCACCGAAAGGGTACTACAGCTGTTTTTTTGGTTGGTTTGGTAGAGTTCGTTGCAGCTAGACGCGCAGTGGTTGGTATCATCCAAAGCCATCGTAAAGAGGATCCTTGTTCTACTGGGTATCCATTGATAGTCACCTCTTTGCGGTACGCCTGTCAACGTCCGTCAAGGAGTCTTACAAGCAGGATATTGACGCTGTCTGTCGTGTTGCAAGATATGGTTGCCGACCGATGTAAGTGGCGATCTTGTTGCCAGTTTCTATCCAGATCGCCTGAGTGGATGTTTGGAGGTGTAGGCACCCTTCCCCGAACACCTTTATTCTTTTTTTTCATAATAAGGCTTTCAAGTAAATCATGGTTGTACAGCATCGGTGTTAAACACTGATGTCATGCTGTCGATGATGTTGTCTGCGTGCCTGCTTACGCCCCAACCGGACGCAGCTCTGACTCAATCAAATAAGCGGATGCGAATTGTTCCTCAAACGTTACCGAGCTGCAGGTCCTCAGGAACTCCCAGCCGTTCTGTTCGAAGATGGAAGTGGAATCAATCGGTGCTTATCTAACTTATTTGTCTCTGAGAGGCTGTCCCCACCAACTAGAAAGAGCCGATAGTGTTGTGCGCTTCTAGAAAGAGGTGCTCGTAGTGAGTGTGGAAATGACTCCTGTTGAAACCAGTCCCATTGCATCACTTATTTTTACGTCTTACAAAGGGACGTGAGGACAGGACCCGAGAACGGTAAGCAGGATTCCGGCGGGGAAAACTATTTGGACCATTTCTTCGCACCCCATCAAGTGTTAGAGCGATTGCATGTATATAGGCGTCCAACAATCTTGGTGTTCCTTGACTTCAAGTGTCGCCTCATCGTGGTTGTTTGGCTTCTGTGCTGCAATGATCCTGTAGGATATGCCGGCTGCAACTCACATCCCAAAGGTCCAAAAATACCAAAAAGGCCGAAAGGAAGCAGCCTGAAGAACACCGAGTCTCCGTACTGTACGTAAAGTCATACTATTCTCTACGACGGGATTATGAAGGCAGTAAGGTGTTTTCCACCAGATGACCAGCATGTCCATATTTATGGAAGCAGCGATGCTGCATTCCAAGGGAGGACAGTTTAGAAAAGGTAGACCCTAAAGGCCGCACACTCTAATCGTTCAACGGTTGACCGTGACCGCAAGCGCATTATTCAATACGGTCAAAATATCTTTAAAACCCGAGTCTCGTGCTGCTCAAAAGACACCTGCTCGAGTCTTGTGCTGTTCAAAAGACACCTGCTGTGCACAGCCACATAAGAAGTGAAACAGCAATGCCGTATCCGTGAAACCCTTAACCAGGCCAGGCCGCTTCAGCTAAGTGGGTCAGAATTTGAGTCAAAGGTTCAAAAAGGGGCACTTCAGCCGGGAAGTATCATTTACTGTTGCAGCTCTTCAGAGCCCAAAAGTGCGTTCGATTTTGTCGAAAAAATCGTTCAGCTGTAGCACCCTTTCGGCGCCTAATTGCCATGCCACCCGAAGGTTGCACGAGAGCTGGGATACTGCCAGGTCGCCCAAGCCTAGACATGGGAAGTCAAGAGGCATAGGCCGGGTTCGAACCACGGACCTTCCGGTCAGTAAATTCGCGCTCTACCCACTTGGACTGGAAGGTCTCCAAAGCCCCAGGTGTTCCAATATTTCCGATATGGAACATCGGGACGACAGTGGTCTCATTTCGGAAAAAAAGCAGGAAACGCAAGCATTACTTGAACGGCCGACCAAGGTTATCCAGTCCTTTGACATCCTCCAAAGCCCCAGGTGTTCCAGTATTTCCGATATGGAACATCGAGACGACAGTGCTCATTTCGGAAAAAGGCAGGAAACGCAAGCATTACTTGAACAGCCGACCAAGGTTATCCAGTCCTTTGACATTTGCTTCACTTTCACAAAGTGCGAAGCCACGCTGCAGTAACAGCAGTCCCCGAATACATCCCCAAGAATTCAAGCGGTAACATTGAAAGTTGTGGAACACTATACGTTTGTCGGAAGTTGTGTTAGCTTAGAATGTAGTGCAACAGATCAGCTCAAAGCTCGAATCTATAAACCTCAGGTCGCACTTGCTAAGTTAACACATAACACTGGTTAACACTGGTACATCCCTAAATCTCAAGGGACGCGCGTACAAGGCTGCAGTATGGTTGTCAGATGTGAGTTGTTCGAGCAGTGGAACTCAGATCTCTTCAGGTGTTCAGGTTGTCTCATGACCTTCGCTCACATAGGCTGGCACTGGTGAACCTTAAACAAGACAACCAAAAAACGAAAGTTCTTTTGTGCGAAAGAATTTAAGACAATAATGTATCCAGTACCGAGAGCTGTGGTAGGCTGGTTATGTACTGCGTACATCAAACCAGCATTTGCCGCAAAATAAAGTTTTCGATGTTCAACTCAGAGTGCCGCAATCAGAGAGGTAGTCAAACCTTGACATAGTGTGAAGGCTATGAAGGAGATTACGAAGTCTCGGTACTGTCTATGCGACTCACCTTCCAAGACAGGGTTCGCGTAATTCTCACCGTGCATGTTTGGAGAAGCTGTAAGATATGGCAGCTAATCGACGTCAATTACGTTCTGGTCAGTTTATATTCAGATTGCCTGAATGAGTGTCCGAGTTGTGCATACTTCGGAATAATTGTGGTAGACTAGCACTAAGTCCCTTACTTATCAACTTTCGTTCTCTTCACTACGAGGCTTTCAAATAAATTATGGTTGTACGGCAGCGAAGCGTCAGGGTTGAACACCAATGCTGTGCTGTCGATGACAACAACGAGGAAACACAGCTTGATTCTTACGAATCTATCCCTCTCCACAACCCAACAATCTGCGCAAAATAGTTTCAACGAGCATCTTATATACCACGACTTCCAGGCCGACACCACATTGTTTTACGTATGACGTTCTTGCGTCCATTTTGAGGATCGGGATCACGGTCAAGACGCTTGTGTTTGAAAAATGATAATTTGTGTTGGATTTCTGCTGTTGACGGAGTACCACTTCTGGGTTCTTACAGAGATCGCGTTGAGCGAAGCCAGCTGAAATGCTGAGTCAATCGCTCAAGATAACGATTTTGGGATATTCTTACCCACCTGGCTGCTGGCGAGTAGCCTAGCTCGATGGCGAAGGAAGTAGAACATACACACCTTATCTATGACGTTGTGTTCGACTATAGCACCCTTTCGATGCCATCTGATATGCTACCCGTAGGAAACACGAGGGCTGGGATACTGCCAGGTTTCCCAAGCCTAGACGGAGGAAGTCGAGATGTAGAGGTCGGGTTCGAACCACGGTCCGGTCGTTGAATTCGTGCTCTAACTACTGAGCCATTCGCACCCTGTTTACGTTACTGTCCATATCAGATGCGTTTAGAGCCGTATCGGACTCCTGGCAAGCTTTCATGGTTGGATCCTGTGGAATGGAACAACAACATAACACGCGGGATCATACAACTCTAAAACCCAACCAACAGGCTATGGAGGTAGTATTTAGTCGGAATTCCGGTGAGAAGACCATCACAGCAGTACAGCCTCTAAGGAACAAGTCGCCGCACGCATTTTAAACCTTGACCTGGAAGGTGGACCCACCAACAGAGGCAATAAATCAAGATCCATGTTGTGTGATAATGATATTCAAAATCAAGTAGTAAACTCATGCAGTGTAAAGTGCAGCGCAACGATTCAGCTGGCAGAAATAAATGAAGATTACTGGATATCTGAAGACATCCACAGATGAGACGCAGCTTCGCGCTCACAACTGAACTACCACACTCACAACCGTATAGTCATTCATCCAGTCGACATGATTACACTGGAGACAGCAATATTAGTGGCGACACAAGTGCTTCACTACTACTACCAAACCGAAATGTGCATACAATTATTTATAAAGCCTAAATCTGGAAAGGAAAAATGGGTGAGATGGTGACCAGGCGTTAGCCTTCCGCATGTGCCTACATACCGAGGTGACAGCACGAAAGCCACTGACACCAGTAGGTAGCCAATTCCTGCAACGTCTCCAGCTAAACACAGGGAAGATCATGGGAACCCCAATCAGAAAACTAGACCACGCCAACAATATCCACACTCTTCGTAACCAATCCCACCGCACAGCTTACGTCACTTTGAAGGAGGAACCGAGAAAGATTCATCATTGAAAGAAGAAAAGAAAGCGTTCAGATGTAGCACCCTTCCGGTGCCTAGCTGCCATGCCACCCGAAGGAAGCACGAGGGCCGGGATACTGCCAGGTCGCCCAAGTCTAGACAGGGGAAGTCGAGTGGCGGAGGTCGGATTCGAACCACGGACCTTCCGGTCAGTAAATTGCGCTCTAACCACTTGGGCCATCTCGCCCCCGATTCATCATTGACGGCATGTGAGCTCAAGATAGTTCACTGGTTAAGCCGCGAACTTACCGACCAAACGGCTCACAACTCACACCCAAACCAGCACCTTGGGCAACCTGCAAGATACCTTCGGCCCTCATTATCCCCTCAGGTGTCACAACAGCTAAGCATCGAATGAATGCGACAGCTGAACGCGGCTCAGACACGGTGGTCGATAGTTGCCTCCGCGAATGAAGTGACTGCTGCAAAATCGAACGCGTCTTCTAGTTACTCGGTTGCGAATAAGTCGACGCCATTGGATACGGGCGACGTTCCTAAGGCATCGGTGGTCAAAAACCTGTAGAGGCCTCGGGTCATCTGACCGAAAATGTCATGTCTAACAACGATCCAACAACACAACCCTTACTACAGGCTGATAAATGAGACCCTTGACACCGAGTGGTATCCTTTTAACAACACAAGTGACGAAAATTGACAGGCGTGACTTAAGTCTTCGAGACTTGTGTACTGGCTTTATCAGACATCCGTCAGAGAGGTGAGGCGAGTCAATTTCCTACAACTCAACCAGTCACTGTCCCTCTAGTAACCCACATGAACTTTCAGTCCCTCGTTACAGGACGGAGTTGTATTCCGTTTCATAGCTCTGTAAACCATCCCTAAGTATGATAAAGTTCGGTTCTGGATAAGGTTTCCGTCAGTAAACCCATCTCGCAATTCCATGACTTAAAAATAGAGTAATGATTATAATTCACGCACGTGGAAGATTAATGTGGGGCAATGGGCGTCCGCACATGCGGAGTCTGATTCCTACAGGGCGATGACTTGACGTACGGAGCGATGCTCAACTGAAGGACCGCAAAGTGAAACAACTTCGGAGTACCATAGATTCTCAGGGAAGAATTTCCGACTGTTAAACATGATCACAACCTAAGAAGAACTTTCCAAAAACCGTGGTCATTGTCCACAACATGGAAATACAGATCTGATCCAGCGCCCAAATACACCAAAGAGAAGCAGTACCTTGTATGACTTCACATGGAATGTCGCCTCATGAGGACCTGAAGTGATTCCACGCACATCGAACACTGAGTAGAAGCTTGATGTTCTACCTGACGAGGTTTTCCGGAATTATAAGACCTGACATAAAATTGTACGAGAAAGTCAGATCCCCTAGACAGGATCGACAGGCGACCAAATTATGATCTTCAAGGTCCTCTCTTAACTTGACAATCCCCTTGGTCGTTGACATATGACGTTCTCTTGGCAAGGTTCATCCGCCAAACGTCTCCTTTTTTTGAGGAGAATCCTAGTCCATATGAGTCAGTGCACACTCAACTACTTGGTCGCTGACATATGACGTTCTCTTGGCAAGGTGCATCCGCCAAACGTCTCCTTTTTCTGAGGAGAATCCTAGTCCATATGAGTCAGTGGCTCCAGGTCTTGGATACGGTTTTGTTCGCACATTCCACCTTGGTACACAATTACCCCGTAAAGTAGTTCAATTATTCAAGTGGGATCCACCAATGAATCTACAGGGCTACCATTGCATCACTAGTCTCCGAAGTAGTCAGTGTGATATCTGGATCAATGAAACCAAATTACTGCATGCGGAAGAAAACGACTTAATTCCTCACCTTGAATGCCTCATAGTCTCCATCTTTCGGAGCCATATTGAAAGAATTCAATGAGTTAACTAAGTGCGTTTTATGTAAGCCGGAAATTTGACAATTACCTCCGTTTGTCCATTGCATATCAGTATCCATAGAGGTATAGTCCTCATCACTACTAGTGGAAACTAACAAGCGTATGAACAGACGGGTGTAACATACCCAATGCGTCGTCCAAACTAGCCGTATCGTTAGACTGAACGTCATTCATGTTTGATGCCTCAAAACTGTTTCAGAAACTCAGGGTCACAACTACTCTTCGTCGCTGAAGACTAGTCTTCGTTGAAGACTTCACGAACCTTACGACAGCGTGTTCAGTCGGGCAGTCGGAAACGAACCAAGCGCGACACTGAGCGCTCATTGGATAAAGGCTAATCACGTGCTCACTCGAAGTTATTCGACGTCGAACAGTAATGGCGGCTATTATGGATTAAGGGATTGATGCATAAGATCGAGGTTTCTGCATAAGTTTCCCGGGTCTGTTTTGTTCTTGTCGTTTAGTGGTTGCTTTTCGCCTGAAAGACAAAGCGAAAAAAGGGTGTAGCACTGCTATTTAAGCTTTCAGGGCGGGGCAGTTCTCTTGCAAGCGTGAGAACGGGCATTAAAAAGCGTCTAATAGCCCCTTGTACTCGGTTATAGATGAGGCGTGGAGAACCGGCAGAGGGAGGTTATTCCACACAGCAACTACAGAAATAGTGCGTCCTGAGCTTGATAAGCTTACCATGCCCACATCATGTGTAGGTGGGGTCAACTTTGAAAAAACCCCTGGCCAAGCCTTGTTCAAACAGGGCATTAGCAAACATTAGGTTTTCTCAGAGGCTGTGATATTCCATGGGAGGGAGGTCAATGTGAGAATTAAGTTTCGTACGTATATCGGTGTAACCAGACGAACTAGAAATCCAGAATTCAGCGCAGCGTAACAACCAGCACGTATGTATTCGAATTGGCGAATATGTACAGCATATGGAATAGTAGAACAAGAGAATAATGAATAGAGTATCAGTCATGTTCATCACAGTCAGGCACCGCGAGAATCGTCCAAGGATCTAGCGCCGGTAACCGTTTTCCTAGCAGGTTGTTGGGCTGCATCCTACTTGCGCCCGCAGTGAACAACTTGGTTAGCATATTAAAAAAGCGGGCCGCGTAAGCCATATACAGTACTTCGACGCCCATGCGGTCAATACGAAAGAAGGTGCGCCGAATCATCCGTCGAACGGCGAATGCCTTTTCAGCCTATTTTTTATCAAGCAGTTAGAGGGATGTGTTTGAAGGGATCCAAACACATAAACAGCCGTTGGTATCTATCCTCGTAACGTCTTCTAGTCCATTCTTACCATGCGCGACAAAAGGATTTGCTGAGCCTCCAGGGAGTGAAATATGCACGCACTTTTCATCATTCAGGAGAGGAAGCAGTCAAACGATTACTGCTTTGCAGCTTCCACATTCATTTGGAGGGTACTGGCATTTGAGCCTCATAATTTCAAGTCGTCCACCAAAAGTATACATGGATTTGGGAGAGCATCTGAAGGGTCTTGGCGGGGATCAGAAACAAGCGGTTCCAAAACAGAGCCTTGAGGGACTTCACTGGGGATCGGCGTTAAAGAGTACGTCAAAATAATTTTCAGTCGGGATTTTCTGTCTGATGGGAACCCTTAATCCCCTGTAGATTTTTCCCTTTAATCCCGCAATACTCGAATTTTTGGAGCAGCAAGTGGGTGGAAACAGATCAAATGCCTTTGAGAATTCGAAAACTACGGCCTCTGACAAGAGTCCTTAGCCTGAGTGAGGCTGTCCATGAGTAGGAGAATGTTCGTCACACAAGAACGGTTTTGGAGGAGTCTACATTTCATTAGGAATATCAAGTTGTTGCTGGTGGGGGAATTTAATATATCCGGTTTCAGTATGCGTCCCACCACCTCGCACGGTACGCCAGTGAGGCTAATGGGTCTATAGGGGCTTGGAGATCATCGGTCACTGGTTCTGTAGATTGGCGTGACAATCGCTTTCTTCCAAGCACAGGAAAGACAGCATGCGTCAAACGACTGTCAGAAGAACGCAAGATGTCTCTAATATTTTTATTGTCAGCCAGGTTACCACTGTTTATTGGAAAAATAATGCATTGGGGGAGCGTATTCTATGTTAAAGTAGGACCGCGAGTACCATCCAAGTTGTGTGCCAGGTTGTTGCCACTAGTCGGTTGACTGATTCCAGACAACTTCCTCTGTTTCACCGCAATGGTGAAAACGTCTCCTCCAGTTGTTCAACTGGCGTATTAAGCACGTCCAACGCCGTTACAGCCCTTCAGTAATTCAGAATGGGGTGCCTGGCGGGAGCACGTTGCAGTAAGTTGTCTTACGCCCCGCAATAAAACCCGCAATTAGTGAGCACCATTTAGGGGAAGAGGCCATCTTCGTAATGTTGTCATGTCTCGTGAGCCTGCTTCTCGTGGCAGGGTGGGCGAATATGGTATCTAACATAAACAATGCCTGATATCCTTACCAAAAGAAATTCGTCACTGCATTTTGGCGTTCAAAAAAGGACTGATAATCTGGCGTTAAGGTTTCTGAGTCAATCGGATTTGAGCATGCAACAAAATGGAGGAACTGTACCCGCAGAAGTACATTTGAAGTAGATTGAAAAATAATGTTCTCAAAACGCAGCCTGACGCAAAATAAAAGTGTCAGGTGTGCCGTTTACGGCTCAAAAATTTGAACGAGAAAGAAATCCTCTGGCCCATAACAGTATCGCCCTTCTAGTAGAGCACGCCCCAAGTTTGTGGGGTATGAGGATATAAGGAACCATACTGGGGGTCTTTTTCGCTACTTTAGCAAATGTGGCACAATAGGTGAATCCGTCTTTCTTGCTGCGGTCAAGGTTTCCGTTAGAACAAGCGAGAGATGTTTTTTATGAATCTGCTTTGCGTGAGGAACGTCAAGTTGTTAGTATTTAGGCTCCTCACGTCACTATGCATCAGTGCACGTCCCACCATTTTGTACGGTATGTCGCTGAAACTGATAAGCTTATGACTTGCCGGAGCGAAGTGGCCATCTAGTTTAAGAATAAGGGTGACAAAACCGCGGATCAATGCAACAAAATTTTCGGCGAGATATTATCGGGCCAACTTAAAAAGGTTCTCGCCCACCTGCACGAAGTTGTATGGGCGAGTCTTATCCAGTTACACTGCTAAACCAAGTCATTCCACCCATAAGGTTCCAAACATCCTTCTCTACAACTTTTATACCTCTTTTATGCTGGGATGTTAAAAATTGATGTGCTGACACTGGATAAAGAAAGCACGAGTAGTTTTAGCTCCCTGCAAGAAGTTCTCCTCCTAAGTGAGAGGTGATATATTCTGCTTGTTTAATGGACAGAGTTTCTTGCGTTTGTATTGCACCTTTTTTATTTTTCCGGACAGAAGCTAACATTTGTTATTGATTCCCACTGGGGAATGTCCAAGCCTCTATTCTACGTTCCCTTCATATTTTCAGGACACCGTTCCATTTACATGGGCATTGTGCTTATTCCTCTGCAAAACGATTCCACCAATCTTACTTTGGTCGTATGAGAAAATACCAGACCACCGTGCGTTTCGCCGAGATTTTTGCCCAGCTGGAGATATCAAAACCCATATCCGCCAAACGCTTGCCGTAGCAAAATGGCTGGGGTGATCTAAAATTTCCGCTGACATATTACCTCCATTGCAGGAGCGAGATCAGCGGAGAAAAAATCATCGAGCCGTTGAATCACCAAATTTTCAAATAATAAAGGCATTAACCACCAGAAAATACAGCTCCATGGAGCCAGACGCTTCGGAAGAGGTCGAAGCACTTGGAAGGTTTTTGGAACACGCATAGCCGCTCTGGTGGTTCATGTTGGCACACTTATTTTCTGGAGTTAGCGTTTATGATAGTTTGGCGTACGAAGCTAGCACGATAATCTAAAATTATACAATTACGTTGCTAAAAATGCCCTACCGACGGCGCCAGAAAACATACTATTCTGCCACCCAGGACGCGTGTGTCAGGTTACAATGCGGAGATTTACTGTTGTATGACGACTCCAAGCAAAAGGTCTGTCTAACCGCAAGTTGATCGCCCAGTTTTGTCAGGAAAACAACTTGAACTTGTGGTAGTCAAGGAATTTTTTGGGATTATATGAAGACGGATATTTAACGACGCACCATCGACAACCACGAACTAAAGGGTCAGATATTTGAGCCAGGTGTTGCACACTGAGGAATTAATCGCGGGAAAGTTCTGCATTTCGTGTTCACCTAATTGTAGCTGAAAACTTGATATGTACATAATATAGAGTGGCCCGGTGGAATACTTTCCGTAATGGAAAACGTGGGGCGCTGTCTTGGAAAGTTAGATGCAAATATATGACGGTAAAGAAGCAGTCTTTTTTGTTGTTGTTGTTGCTTGTCAAGCCAGCAAGTCTATTGGATGACGTCCTTGCCAGACATCAGAATATTGCCCTTCGGTGTCCTCTTACGTTCTGAACCTTCAGGTGATGCACGGTGCCAAAGCATTGCAGTAAACTGTTCGCAGATAAACTAGAATGGCCCTGTTGCGCCGTTCGTTTACTCGTACCCCTACAATGATGGTGACGTTAGCGGGCAATGAGAGGAAATAGCACCATGAGGAACAGCACCGACTGCGTTGACGATTGTCGTTTCTGGCCCTGAGAAAGCATCTTCTGCCGTGCTAACAAACCAGCATTTTGTGCGGCCCCAAGGTACACCCGTATGGGATGCATGAGCCACGTGCAACGCAGAGCGAAGCGCCGAGTGCGGTATGACAGACGCAAAACAGGGAGTTATGTTTGAAAAATTATTCTGGGTGGTTGGGACTGTTACGGACCTTTTCGAGAAAAGGGTCAATAACAGTGGTGGATAGTCTCTGGCACATGAGTACTGTTGATTCCGCCTGCGAATCAATGGTGACCAGCGGTAACTTTCCTTGTTTTCTGACTTCTCATGAGTAACGTGACTCGCATCTGTTTATTATGACACCGTTTCGTTTCTTTGCTCGTTTTCCCCCTGTTTCGTCCCGGCTTAGGGTCTGCTTATGCCTCAGTAACTGATGTCAACACTTATTTTTTGCCCGTCCGTCATTGCTTGCAAGTTCGTCTGGATTGCACCTATTCACGAGCGTCCACTCCGACCGAAAAGCGCGCCGACCGGGTATCGAACCCAGAGTCTGCGGACAGCAGGCGAACGCGTCACCGACTACACCAACCGGACGTCCAACATGGCTGTTTATTTTGTATTACCTATGTATCGCACCTGGCAGATAGCCCTTGCTGAGCTTTGTTTTAAACGGACGAAACCGCGCAATCTGACCTATCACGCGACACGAGCGGCTGCGTCGACGCCGACCGAAAGACAGTCCTTCAAATCCCCAGACTGCCCCGATATAAATCCGTGCTGTGACAGTGACTACTTCCCGCTCCTGCAGATTGCGCCATTGTTGATTAACCATTTCCTGTCAGTCTTCAATATATCATCCACTGCCCCACGTCTGTCTGCTCCTATTGACTACTGACTACGAACTGCGTATAATCTAATAGTCGCAATCGTCCTGTGAGATCCTTAACCGTGTAGATCTTACAAGTACTATATAACTGGAAACGAAAGCATGTTTTGCTGCGTTTCTTGCAGATATAAACTTCCAACAACGCCCTAGGCTTGGCACAGCGACGCAAGAAAGACAGACCAAGAAAGACCAAGAAAGAGAGCTCCAGGCAGATGGCGCCGTGCGATGTCTAATGAAGCTAAAAGAACAAGGGCCGCGTTGGGCGTTGTCAGCTAGTGGATTCTTGAGCCGGTGGTTAAAGTTCTGTGGCTATAAATCGGGAGCCAGCCAGATCTTTGCTGCGGCAACGGTAAGATCACTCATTGACTTTGAAGTGATGCGGCGCTCTTAATAACGTGACGGTGCTGCGTACATGCGACTCACAAAAATGGCCAACTCAGCAACAGCAGAGATCTGTTGGCTTTCGGCCAGCGTTGAAGCGACTTGCGTGTTCTCAGGGAGTCTCTGAGGTCATATTTTGGGAAGCGACAAACCAGTTACCATGTGGTGACTAAAACATGACCACATATCCTTAGGCACCGTAGACGAATAGCTACCAAAACCTTGAGTGCCTCGACAAAGCCGTGTTTGGGCAGTCTCAAGAAAATGTGTCTAATAAGCGCGTCGTCTGACACCCGAAGCCTTTAAACATCGCCTCAAGTCACATGAACCAAAGGTACGGGCGCACACCTTGAAATGCAAGCACACCGTGAAAAGCAAGCAATCCGTAACGGAAGCTACCCTTTCCCATTCGATAACTAGATCACCGAATGCGATGTGTGAGATACAATGTGTTCCCCAGATGCACTAGCCTGTAATTTGAACAGGAAACAAAGACGCTAATGAAAGGGGTTGGAAAATGTTTTTGAGTTAACAATTATATCAACCCCAAAAATGGAACCTAAGGACTTCGGCTATAAACTCAACGAATTTGGCACTCGTTCGTGTATGTCCATTTATAGCGGTCGGTCCAGCGCTACCAATGAAGGGCAGAAAATTCATTAGCTGGCAAGTTTTTGAGATTTTTTAGTCTGAATGTTAAGATGAATTTGTATGATGACGGAGATATTTGCCCAGGAGACATGGATGTATCCTGAAAAAGAAGCGTAAGTCTGACTCGGCTGATTTCACCAACAGTCTTGCACACGTAATAACGCAGAACTACGTCGGGGGTACTAATAAGGACTCTCGCTGTAAAGATTATTAATAGTGCACACTGCGAGAAGTTCAAGTATTTTGGTTATATGGGCTTGTTTAGCTCCAATGCTCGCGTAGCGCGCAGTAAGACCTAGTTGTAATAGCATGAACAGAAGGGCAGTCGCTAGTCGCTGGTTCCAAAAAATGCTTGAAGGTGGAAAATACATATGGGGGTAGGCGTGGGTGAAAATCAGTAATGTAGCAGAAGGCAGCTACGTCAGGTACCTTGGAAATGCCGCAGCTAAAATTTGTGACTAGGAGTGAACTTACTTGAGGACGTAGCGGTCTGTCGGTAGATCACACGTCACACACGCTCAAATCACATAACATCTCCTGTATTACTTGCAACCTTAGCCAACAAAATGTACAGTACAATCTCCCATGCGTTTTTGTCTAGCGGCTAGCACCTGCGTTATGCGCAAACCTTACGAACTTTAACCACACCAGGTCAAATTGTATTCATGTTCGAGACATTATCGAACACGTATGGACACCTTTCTCTTCACACGACGCACCATAAATAGGAACGCTATTAGGTCCGCACACATTCGCGCGCATAGGACAGGAAGTCAGTCGATCCCCACAAGTCTTCAGGGACAACTTAGGGGCCCATGTAGCAGGTATAGTGCGAAGAATACATGTCACGCATCAAAAAATTCACTCGGAACTTTTCAGCATTTGACTTCACACGATAAGTCACTTCTTGGCTTGTTCCCTACTTGCACTGCATTTATTTTCATCAAGTGAACATAACTTTTGCGATCATCATCCTGGTAAGACAGACATTTGTTAGAGCTTGTCACCTCTTCATAATCAAACTAATTATGCCACAACACGATAACCAACGGGGAGGATGGAAGCAGCGTGTTAAGGACAACATATTTGGTCGGGAGACAACAAAAGTGAGGTTACCTACCAACTGGTCACGGGACTGTGCGGCAGCTGCGGTAGCTATATCGTGACGTCGTAGCGTTTTGGTGAGTTGCTTATGTATGTACGTCTTGGGTGGAACATTTGGGGTAACCGAATGCACTTAATGATACCTTGGCTAGAGAAGTTGTCATCACAGTCGATCACCACACCCGGGATAGCAGGTTCGTCGACAGATATTACCAAACACGGCTTACCTGCATGCGACCAGCAGAGAAAGCGCGAAACAGTCACAGCATGAAAATTGTCATTGGCTGGATAAGAACGAACAGGGTGAGTGGCTATACTCTACAATTTAGTGACCCCAGATTTTTTCGCACATGACCATGTTCGACCTAACAGTACAGCCGCGTTCATGTTTTCTATTTTCCTTGTCGCTTAGCCCGGCAGGCACAATCCTGGTGCAACCGGAAGACGGTCAGAGGACACAATGACATGGCGGATAAATGGGTGTGAAACTTCGAAGGCAATGAAAAGAAAGATATATTGTTGTAAGAAAAATTATCTGAGACTAACGAACAGAAGAACACATGAGAAGAGTTTCAAGATCTATCAAGAAAACAACAGGTTGATGTTCGTCCACTGTAAAAATAAAGTGGGGCCTAGAGAGTGCACTTGATGAAAATGTGTGACAAAGCCCCTTGGAAACGTCTACAGGATCTAACGAAAATCGAATACGGCGGGGGGGGGGGGATGACTTGTAACCGGATAGCGGATTATGGTTACCAGGGAAGAAGGAGGGCTAATAGCTTCTTCTGACCTACCGCCAGAAGGATGAAGACACACTGGACATAATGCGGGCGTGTAATGACCCTGGGTAGACAAAGTCTTTAATGAGGAAATATCGAGAAAGATCCACTCTCACCCAAATGCTAGAGGATGTCAACGATAAAATGGGCAAAATCGTGGGAGTGAGGAGTGGACTTCCACACCGTACATCAAGACACCTGTGATGCAAAAAGGCATCATACATGTAGAAAAAAGCAGCAGTGTTGATGAGGTCGTCATACGAAGTCAAGTCCCATCGCGCTAGTAACTATTTAATTTTACTCTTGGGCCTGGTATTTAAGAAGAACAACCCTGGGGAGCTGCACCCCTCAGTTAACATCTGCGTTAATCGCTCTACTGGAAGTCAAGTCCCATCGCGATAACAGAACATACGCTAGTAACAATTTAATTTTACCCTTGGGCCTGGTATTTAAGAAGAACAACCCTGGGGAGCTGCACCCCTCAGTTAACATCTGCGTTAATCGCTCTACTAATGGCTACAAGAGTTCGCAACGGAATCCAAACAACTGCCACAATCTGTTAAAAAAATTTTCATGGTATTTTAATACCGATTGCAAGAGATTTCCGTAAGCCCCTGAGCCTGAGGATCACACTGGACGATTGAAGCTATCGGAGTATAAGCAGCCCGTAAACGGTATATCGTAAAAATAGGTGGATGGGAGTAGCAGTTTCTATATGGACAACCGCGGACGAACGGATCAACAACCATCATAACTCGACAACAGTGTTCTAACCAGAAAACATCATGAGGATAGATGCCAAAAAGGATTGGGTATTTGGGTCTCCTCAAACTTGTCCTTCTCACTGCACCATGAGAAATCGGCCATTCGCCATTTTACGGATGATCCGACGCACCTTCTCCCGTATTACTCGCATGGTCTTCCAAATACTCTATGGGGCCTACGTCAGACCGCTCCTGAAGTACGCCGACCAAGTCGTCTACTCAGGACGCACGGAAGACGTCACCCTCACTGAGCGTGTCCAGTGGGCCGCTACGAGAATGGTTGCCGGCCCCCAAATCCGTGGACTACGAAACGCGTCTCGCGATGCTTGATCTCTTTCCACTGGAGTACCGTCGCCTCCGAGGGGACCTAAGTCTTACTTACGCCCTGTTTGAACAGAGCTTGGCAAACAGGTTTTTTCCCGTTGACCCAGCAAACACCTGGCGGGGGCATAATAAGAAAATTTTCAAGCTCAGAGCGCACACATTCATTAGAAACAATTTTTTCTCACTTCGGGTAGTAGCTGCGTGGAGTGACCTTCCTCCGACGGTTGTCTACGCTCCTCCTAGAACCCAGTTTAAAACACTGTTAGACATTTATTTATGCGAATCCTCGCACTGGCAAGCATACTGCTCCGCGCTGAGAACATAAAGAGCAGTGCTACACCCTTTTTTCACTTATGCCTTTCAGGTGACCGACAGCCACCGACCGGCAAGAACAAAACCGAACCGGGAAACTTGGGCAAAAGCCTCGATCCTGTGTATCAATCCGTGAATCCGTGAATCCGTGAACCTGTGAACTCAGGAAGCGCGAGAAACACTGTTTTTTAGGCGCGAACTACAGTTTTGAGCGCCACCCCTGGACATGCTCTCTGGTCGCAGAGGCTGGTCAGAGGAGTGCGTGATTAGGTATGCAATTTTGATATTATTTTGACTTTTGCTCGCAACTTAGGCATCCATGGAATGATGTAATGCGGGCTGTCCAGAATAAATACCCCAATCCCCAGAATAACAGCGTCCTCAATATGGATGTGATCAAGCGGTCCGTGGATCTACGAACGGGGACTATCCATTCTTTGAAGCTTCTAAACTCTTCGTTTTCTACGTTTCTACATCTGGGACAGTTACGGGCCGTAGAATGGAGTACAATCGATCGCAAGGAAAAGCGGATGGTGACCGTCTCCCATAACATTAGTCTCCGGGCCGTCATGAAGGCAGTCGAACACCTGGAATACAGTGAACATCCCGAAAATAAGGATTGGTAAGTCGTCTTGTTACTCACAGTCTCCAGACCCATTTCACTCAGGCTGGAAAGGCGGGGGGGGGGGTCAAATGTACCAATTACATTCATCGCCAACACCGTCGGTTATGTTTGCGTCCACAAATAAGTGGGTACATGATTAGGAAGACGAAAGCCTGTAGGTTGGTATCGTTGCAGGTAGACTGATTGCCTCCGACAGTTATGATGGGTGTAATGGGAAGAGTAGTACATAATCTATTGAGCCTGGTGGAAATGCGAACCTATTTCATCCGAAGGTTTCAATCCGATTCGACCAGGTGAATAAAAGAATGTATACAACGTGATGTGTGTGGAACTATACAAATGCCATCCACTGATGACGGGAGAAACAGTGGTAGCTAATTCCGCGCTCCATATGTGCTCTTCGATATGGATGAGTCCAAGATCGTTGTCATTGCTTTGGACGGAATGCTCAATGGAGGAGACGTTCGATGGTGTTGAGAATAGTAACTATTTGGCGTTGACTGCCGTGCTGGTTTCAAAAATGTGGTACAGCTGGAGCGACGGATTTTCCTCGAGTTCGATTAATGTGTGTTCTGTGGCTGGTACACTTCGACCAGATTTGGCTGTCGTTTTGTGCAAACATCGGGTGGGGATCAACGGATGAGGAAGGTCGGTGGACCAGGTTGGTTGTTTTGAGTGCCTCCATGGAGGTGCGGGAACGCAGATGAGGGGAGAAGTCACGTGGTAGTCCAGACGCCTTGATTCTTGTGGATTTGTACGGAGTCCAAATCATTAGGAAGTTATGGTGATTGACGAGGCGGTTTGAAGTACGTCGTCGTGAAGGGGTTTTGATTTTGCCCATGCTAATTGGACGATGGGTCTAAGACGATAAGGTCTCTGCGCCACATTTTTAAATCTTCATTATTGAACAACACTGACCAGTTCAATGGAGGGTAAAACGGAAGACGGGTGGTTGATAGAAATATTGAAGATAAGGCATCATAGTGCGGATCTCGGAAAGCTCCGCTGCCCAGTGCACTTGACCGGGCATTGGCATGCGGACCTTCTCGCTAGACATTCCATATACATAATTTATCGCTGCCTCCAGACTTGATCACGTGGATTGGGACTCCTCTACGTAACCATCATCTGCAAGTAAGAACAGACGGCTTTATCCTCCAGACTCACAATATCAGTGGCATGGCAGATAGGCACCGAATTCGCCCTTTCCTAGAGTACTCAATTCCATTCAACATATAACTGAGTCTTGTCGATACCGTTTCGCTGACTGAGGATCTACGAATACTTCCTCGTCATTGGAACTTGGTGTTTGTTGTTTTATACCCCCGTCACTACCACGGAAAATTTTCATCGGAGCTTGCTTTTTCTATCCCTTTGCCTATTTACATGAATCGGGCGTCACGGATTTGTTCATCCATTATCACCCATATCAAGTTACTGCTACATATTGTAGAGATGCTCACCTCTCATCCCGTTTTTCCGAAAGCCATCCGTCTTTGAAATTCCATAGCTCATAAAACCTCCAACTATTCGATAACTGGGTTAACTTCGTTCTGAATCTTCATTTAATTCTTGTATTATTTATGTATTTTATGTTGTATTTCGTCCTTATTTACTGCGAGATTCTGACCATATCTCCTCCGTTCCTCTGTAGTCCATATTTATTTAATTCGAAAAGCTAGTGCGCGGATTATGAAGACACGAACGGCGTCCGCCAACTTGCCCAAGTGATGGCGTTATAAGCGAATTTCACTGGATCTAAAAGGATATACACAAGGCGACTACAATAGCCACCTTGCTTAGTCGTTGTGAGACTTGGACCTTCCTACCTGAAGACCCTAGGTGTCTTCAAATTTTCGATCGCTGGTGTCTTCGAAGCATAGCTTGAGTTAGCCGGTTGCAAAGAGCCGAAGCAGCTCGTAAGTGGATACTTGACAACGAGTCAGANCGTGAATACGTGAATCCGTGAACCTGTGAACTCAGGAAGCGCGAGAAACACTGTTTTAGGCGCGAACTACAGTTTTGAGCGCCACCCCTGGACATGCTCTCTGGTCGCAGAGGCTGGTCAGAGGAGTGCGTGATTAGGTATGCAATTTTGATATTATTTTGACTTTTGCTCGCAACTTAGGCATCCATGGAATGATGTAATGCGGGCTGTCCAGAATAAATACCCCAATCCCCAGAATAACAGCGTCCTCAATATGGATGTGATCAAGCGGTCCGTGGATCTACGAACGGGGACTATCCATTCTTTGAAGCTTCTAAACTCTTCGTTTTCTACGTTTCTACATCTGGGACAGTTACGGGCCGTAGAATGGAGTACAATCGATCGCAAGGAAAAGCGGATGGTGACCGTCTCCCATAACATTAGTCTCCGGGCCGTCATGAAGGCAGTCGAACACCTGGAATACAGTGAACATCCCGAAAATAAGGATTGGTAAGTCGTCTTGTTACTCACAGTCTCCAGACCCATTTCACTCAGGCTGGAAAGGCGGGGAGGGGGGTCAATATACCAATTACATTCATCGCCAACACCGTCGGTTATGTTTGCGTCCACAAATAAGTGGGTACATGATTAGGAAGACGAAAGCCTGTAGGTTGGTATCGTTGCAGGTAGACTGATTGCCTCCGACAGTTATGATGGGTGTAATGGGAAGAGTAGTACATAATCTATTGAGCCTGGTGGAAATGCGAACCTATTTCATCCGAAGGTTTCAATCCGATTCGACCAGGTGAATAAAAGAATGTATACAACGTGATGTGTGTGGAACTATACAAATGCCATCCACTGATGACGGGAGAAACAGTGGTAGCTAATTCCGCGCTCCATATGTGCTCTTCGATATGGATGAGTCCAAGATCGTTGTCATTGCTTTGGACGGAATGCTCAATGGAGGAGACGTTCGATGGTGTTGAGAATAGTAACTATTTGGCGTTGACTGCCGTGCTGGTTTCAAAAATGTGGTACAGCTGGAGCGACGGATTTTCCTCGAGTTCGATTAATGTGTGTTCTGTGGCTGGTACACTTCGACCAGATTTGGCTGTCGTTTTGTGCAAACATCGGGTGGGGATCAACGGATGAGGAAGGTCGGTGGACCAGGTTGGTTGTTTTGAGTGCCTCCATGGAGGTGCGGGAACGCAGATGAGGGGAGAAGTCACGTGGTAGTCCAGACGCCTTGATTCTTGTGGATTTGTACGGAGTCCAAATCATTAGGAAGTTATGGTGATTGACGAGGCGGTTTGAAGTACGTCGTCGTGAAGGGGTTTTGATTTTGCCCATGCTAATTGGACGATGGGTCTAAGACGATAAGGTCTCTGCGCCACATTTTTAAATCTTCATTATTGAACAACACTGACCAGTTCAATGGAGGGTAAAACGGAAGACGGGTGGTTGATAGAAATATTGAAGATAAGGCATCATAGTGCGGATCTCGGAGGGCTCCGCTACACAGTGCACTTGACCGGGCATTGGCATGCGGACCTTCTCGCTAGACATTCCATATACATAAGTTATCGCTGCATCCAGACTTGATCACGTGGATTGGGACTCCTCTACGTAACCATCTTCTGCAAGTAAGAACAGACGGCTTTATCCTCCAGACTCAAAATATCAGTGGCATGGCAGATAGGCACCCAATTCGCCCTTTCCTAGAGTACTCAATTCCATTCAACATATAACTGAGTCTTGTCGATACCGTTTCGCTGACTGAGGATCTACAAATACTTCCTCGTCATTGGAACTTGGTGTTTGTTGTTTTATACCCCCGTCACTACCACGGAAAATTTTCATCCGAGCTTGCTTTTTCTATCCATTTGCCTATTTACATGAATCGGGCGTCACGGATTTGTTCATCCATTGTCACCCATATCAAGTTACTGCTACATATTGTAGAGATGCTCACCTCTCATCCCGTTTTTCCGAAAGCCATCCGTCTTTGAAATTCCATAGCTCATAAAACCTCCAACTATTCGATAACTGGGTTAACTTCGTTCTGAATCTTCATTTAATTCTTGTATTATTTATGTATTTTATGTTGTATTTCGTCCTTATTTACTGCGAGATTCTGACCACATCTTTTCCGTTCCTCTGTAGTCCATATTTATTTAATTCGAAAAGCTAGTGCGCGGATTATGAAGACACGAACGGCGTCCGCCAACTTGCCCAAGCGATGGCGTTATAAGCGAATTTCACTGGATCTAAAATGATATACACAAGGCGACTACAATAGCCACCTTGCTTAGTCGTTGTGAAACTTGGACCTTCCTACCTGAAGACCCTAGGTGTCTTCAAAATTTCGATCACTAGTGTCTTCGAAGCATAGCTTGAGTTAGCCAGTTGCAGAGAGCCGAAGCAGCTCGTAAGTGGATACTTGACAACGAGTCAGAATCGTTAGGGATATATATATATATATATATATATATATATATATATATGTATCTAGACACACCTCATGG